AACGTATTTTTTTAAATCAACTAGAAGTGTATCTTCCATGTTGTAACTTCGGTAAAGGCAAGTGTCTGTTACAAACTCACCTATTAAAAACAAGTGACTCAGCTTTGATCACAGAGAAAATAATCCAACTTTGTACAGCGTGCCTGAGAAATATTTAAAACGAAAGAATTCAAGAATTTTGAAGATAAAAGAGTTGGCAAACTATACTATGCAATTAAAAACAAAAAACAGGAGTTGTAAGGTTAATAGCAGACCAAATTAGCTGGAGATCTTGGAAGATGGCAGCATAGGAGGACGCTGGGCCACTGCGCATCCTGCTGATCACTTAGATTCCACCTACACCTGCTTAAATAACCCAGAAGACCACCAGAGGATTAGCAGAACGGAGTCTCCAGAGCCAAGTGCAGACGAGAGGCCCATGGAAGAGGGTAGGAAGGGCGGTGAGGCGGTGCGCGCTCCACGGACTGGCAAGAGGGAGCTGGGGCGGAGGGGCGGCCCGCCCGCCAAGCAGAGCACCCAAGTCTGGCAAAAGCAGAGGGGCTGGACAGAGTGTGTTCTGACAGCAAGCGGGACTTAACATCTGGAAGGTTATAAGTTACCAGCTCTGCTCAGAAAGCGGGAAGGCTGGAGGACAAAGGGAGGGAGAGTTGCTGAGCCCCCCGAAAAACAGAACTCAGTTTGGCAAGGAACAAAGGCGCTCACCAGCGCCATCTCCTCGCCCATCCCCCAGCCAAAATCCCACAGAGAACCAGTTCCTGCCAGGGCCTTGCTCGCTCCGCACAAACACCCAACCCTGTGCTTCTGCGGAGCCACCCCTCCGGCAGCGGGTCTGACTCCCTCCCGCTGCCACAGGGCCCCTCCTGAAGTGGATCACCTAAGGAGAAGCGAGTTGGGCCTGCCCCTCCTGCCCCCGTGCACCTTGCCTACACACCCCAGCTAATACGCCAGATCCCCAGCACCACAAGCCTGGCAGTGTGCAAGTAGCTCAGATGGGCCACGCCACCCCACAGTGAATCCTGCCCCTAGGAGAGGGGAAGAGAAGGCACACACCAGTCTGACTATGGCCCCAGCAGTGGGCTGGGGGCAGACACCAGGACTGACTGAGGCCCCGCCTACCATCTCCAGTTATACACCACAGCACAGGGGAAGTGCCCTGCAGGTCCGCACCACTCTGGGGACTATCCAAAACGACCAAACGGAAGAATTCCCCTCAAAAGAATCTCCAGGAAATAACAACAGCCAATGAACTGATCAAAAAGGATTTAAATGATATAACAGAAAGTGAATTTAGAATAATAGTCATAAAACTAATTGCTGGGCT